TAGATATAAAAGTAAAAGTCTCACTCTCTACAGAGCAGATCAGTAAAGTCAGATGGTGGGATGGACATTTACTTCTTTTGCCCTAATATTGAAAAAACTATTAATCCTGTTGAAAATACCACCACAGCTAAGGTTGGAAAAGGTTCAGTATCAGTCAAAATGATGTGTCTCATTAGAAGACAAGAGGCAATTCAGATCCTTCAGGGAAAAAAAAACTGAAAGTGGCAGTTGACATTACTACTTGACATTATGACGCACATAAAGCTGGAATTTTTTTGTAGTTACTCCCACATAACTGGTTTCCTATTATTTTCCTGAGGGCTTAGATATGTTTAATTTCATTTTCACACTGAGTGTCCTTCTTTCATATAATAACTCCATTGATAATAATGTTAATTTTAAATTTCCAAAAAGTTGAAAAAATAGTTTTCCCCTGTGAATCATTTGACCTGTTTTCAGTCCCCTTATTCCCAGGCTCTTTGTCACTGCATGGACATGACTACACTTGTCGACATTTTAAAGAATTTAAAATAGTTTGTAGGAGGATCTTTTGAATCATGTATGAAAAGTTCATCAGACTTGTATTTTATTGCTCTGTTTGTGTGCTGCAGTACTGTCAAATTATGTCAAAGAAACCCATTAAGATTATTAACCCAATATGATTTGCTTAAGATGATACAATTTAACATATCAAATAAATACCTGACTCCTAATTATACAATCATTTGAGTTGTTTTTAAAGCTTCTCTGTTACTACCATGTCGGTGTAATTGTCTGTGTATAAACTGTACATGACAGAGGACAACACAGGTGATCTTAGAATATTCTCTTTTAATTCCATAATTAACTCTGGATATTTCAGATTCCCACATGGTAAGAAGAATAATGATTAATAGAAAAACACTAATGTTTGCATTTCTTATGACTGAAAGAGAAACAATGAACCATTAGGGCACCTCAACCTGTTCTTTTACTGCTGCAATTTTACTTGTGTGCATTTTATTTGTGTATTTAACTCTCTGAGGTTTTGAGTAGCCTGGGAGGCAGAGAAGTTTGTTAGAGTATAAAAACAACAACCTGTCATGTGTTATCATTAATTTAATGCCACTAATGTCAGAAAATCCATTTATATTGTGGTAATCTGTCACTATACGTTGGATATGCACAGCTAAGACACATACTTTTGGCGATGAGGCAGAATTTACCTGGTGGGTTGTTCCTTCGATTAGCATAGGGGTCCTCTGGCTCAGCGAAAACACTGGAAGCCATCTTGTTTTTTCGGGCGGGAGGTTTCCCCTCATCTGCACCAAGCGTAATGTTGGAGCCGCCACCCGGTGGGCGCAAAACCCTGAAAAGAGAGAGAGATGGTCAACACTGTTACTGAAAGGAATGCATAGAATCAATCAATGAGAAATGATTCACCAACTACACTTAGTTTATTTGGAGACATTTTTCATTTGCTACTCTGTACTCTGAGGCCACCTGGTGGCTGGCTGCAGTATAGGTCATAAATCCCAATTCTTCCATGTAATGGTCTCTTGTGGTTCCAAGAGTCTGTAAGAGTAGAACAGGAGGTAGATCCTTCAGCTACCAGGCTCCTCTCCTGTAGAACCAGCTCCCACTCTGGGTCCGGGAGGCCGACACCATCTCTACATTTACGGTTAGACCTTGGACGTTCCTTTATGTTTCGTGAGTCCTGAACCATCTCTTATTTATGCTGCTATAGGTCTAGACTGCAGGGGGAATTCCCATCATGCACTGAGCACTTCTCCCCTTTTTTCTGTCTTTCTGCCTCCACATCCATTTATTTATTTTACTACATGTCACTAAGTTTTTTTCCCCTCCCATAGTCTCTCCCTCTCTCTCTTTGCAGGTATCTCTGACTCCAAAGCTGCAGGATAACAACAATTATTATAATTATTATTGTGAGTTGTTGCTGCTATCATTAATAACATCTTTACACTCTTATTGTTTTCATTATAACTAGTCAGAGCTGAGACCTGATGCTGTTCCTGGTCTCCCTATCTCACTCGTTTCTCTCCCTTCTTTTCCACCCCACCTCCCCATTTTTTCCCTGCTCACTCCAACCGTTCGAGGCAGATGGCCGCTCACATTGACTCTGGTTCTGCCAGAGGTTTATACGCTGCACAGTCACCACAGTGCTGCTCATTGTAACAAAGTCATCCATCTATCTAAAATATTAGAAACAGTTCTCAGGACAATGCAACAGAGTTGAACGACACAATTAACTACAGTCTACAAAGTGACATTCTTAAGAGCAGTGTTTATTGTGTTTGCTTTTTTTAACAACTAAACAAACAACTAAACTAAACTCCTGCCATGTACCAATATTTATGAAGTATTTTTCTCCAAAATACAGTCATCACTAAATTGTTCTTACACACTGCAGTAAATATATTGGTCTTATGTATTTTTTCTCACATTGTCTTCATTGAGCTATGCTATCATAAAACATTTTTGTTTGAGAATTATGAATTTTAAATATGAACTACTATAATAAGATAGATGTACTTTATTCATCCCAAATTGGGAAATGATTGTGTTACAGCAGCATGTCAAGGGCATTGCACATAGAGACACTAAATACAAGAGAATGCTTAATAAGGGACAAGAGTGCAAAATTGCAGTAGTTGTTTGCAAAGGTTAGGGAATATGACTAAAATAAATATGAGTATAAGATGTGCAAAAACCAAAATCACAGTTATTGCAGGAGTAATCAGTTTTGATTGAGTTATGGACAGAAACTATAGGGCTCATGGATTTGAGAGATGTTTGTGGAATTGAAATATGACTTCCTCTGCATGTGCTCGCTGAAAACCATGAATTGGGGCTAGGCAATAAAAGTATCAATAATTATTCAAATGTATTTTCATCAATAGCAATAGAACAAAGGTTCAATACATATTGCTATTTTGCATGTGCGTTGTGCATGCACGGTGAGGAGGTTTAACACACAACTGATCTACCTCAGATTTGAGTTTTAAACTTTTGAAATAAATAATGGGATAACAATCAACGGTTTAATCTGGCTTTGAGTTGAAATCGCTCAGCCCCATCGTAGACGCAGCTCTGGTTAATGTCAGGTGTGGTCAGCTGTAACGGGGCCTCGCCTCAGTGGGTGCACATGCAGGGCAGACTGGAGGATGTCTGAGCTTCCTCACTGGTCGTGTTGATGATCAGACAAACCACAGAGGGCCTCGCCCATGTGTCTTTCTCTTTTTCTTCCAATAAACACAATCACCTCGCTGAGGAAACACACGACAGACGCATGCTAGGGTTGAAAGGCCCACGTAGCTGACGCCGGGCACAGAGCAGCCTGGTGTGCACCTGCTAGCTCTGCAGCATCCCCACAAAAAGGGAGGGTGCTATCATGCTAGCTAACGCTGAAAATGGTACGTTCTGACGGACAAAACCGTGAAGGTGTGGTTCCGAGCTTTATCCTGGATTTGTCCGCCGGTGGTGATTCAATCCCACATCGAGCTGCGGAGATCAAATCACAGGCAGCGACAGTAGCAGACATGTTTTAAACGGCACGCTGTGTGTGGTTAGCAGCAGAGGATGCAGGACTTGTGGGATGGATGGTGGAACCGTCCGGACGACGCCTTTTACCTGGAACTGCTTTTGGAGCCGGGCTCCATCCCTTGAAATGTGGTGGTGGTCGTCATATCTGCACAAGAAGACGCGAAGTGTTTATTTTAAAAAGCGGACACGGTAAAAGACACTATCATTAGCAGCTCCTTTATCATTGTCTGCCCGGGCCGGTGGATGTCAGTAGTCAACCTGCCTCCTCCAGCCTGACGACACCAGGCTGTCCTGAAACACACCTCACTTCCGCTCCACTTTTCACAATAGCACACATCAACCTCACGAGTTAAGGAGATTCGGTTCCCTGAAAGTGAGTCACAACTCAGTAGAGATTTTATATTTACGCATTTAATGGTGAATATTTAGTTTTGTTGTTTGCCTTAGTTTAAAAACAAAAATCACATACTTGGATTTTAATTTGAAGACAGGAAGTCTTTATATCCGGTTACAAGTGTGGCAGCAGTGCGGACTGTAGTCGCTACACCCAAGCACCGCCCACAAGTGGACAGCGTCTCCTGTGATTGGATCCTGACACAGCGATCAAGCCTGTGATTGGTTGGAGTATTTACATGAGACGCACACACTGTAACTCAAGTTTGACTCATAAATCCACCATCAGTTTTCATCAGGAGCTAAGAAACTATCCTATATATATACATATATATATATATATATATATATATGTGTATATATGAACACAGAGTGACAAGTAAAACGGTCAAATTCAGAAACCAGTTTTGAAGATGTTAACTACAAGCATGTCTTCTGTGCAAACTTAGGATGTGAAAGTTATTTTATTAATTCAACTTTCAGGCATAGTTGATGATTTTCCCATTAAAGGGATTATGCCACACATGGCTTGATGAGAATTATAATAGTGCACCCTCTTTTCCACAAATACTGACACTGCAAACACCCATCTTGATGTCCAATGCACAGGGACTGCTGTCCTGCAGTTATATTATCAATTTAAATAATTCCTGCACAAATGTGGGTTATGCTGTTATTCAAGGACAAATCTTTTAAGAAAAAAATACATTTAAAGAATCGCATGACAGAGTACATTTACATTACCTAGACTGAACCTGTTTTACCCACCTCTGGTTAAGATGATTAATGTCTCAGGCTACAGGATACATACTGTTGCATTTAGTATTTACCTAAAACAATACACACCTCTCATCCAGTATCAGGTTTGGCTGAGGTGCTGGAGCTTAAAGATTTCCTAAAACATTCTGAAAACCAGAACAGGAGAAAAGCATCCAGGCTTTCATATTTGTACAAATATATTTATTTTACAGAGTATGCAGATGCTTTATCTCAGTTGGTATTAACCTGCAAGATATCCGCTGTGTTAAGAATCCTAAAGTATCCATAAAACAAACGACAGGGACATGTATTAAAAAAAACTCAATTTATTCCAATACTACATTTTCATAGCAGATGTCAATTAAAATGCAGGCTTACTTGACAACAATAACAAAATTCCATCTGAATCAAAACCTCAATGACAGAAGTATAAAAACAAAAACAAGGACCAAGAAATTTATTTTTCCAGAACTTCTACAAAGAAAAAAAACCCCACAAGAAGCTATTAATTTCTTCGGCACATTAGACATACTGCAGCACACGAGTTGTCGACACTGTGCAGTTCAGAAATGTTAACATGTGAATGACAGCTTGATGAAACCTATCTACACCAACTGTGCTGCTGTCTTCCAGCATTTTGAAAAAGTATTCCACTGGATGGCATCAACACTGGCATTTGAAGTCTGGCATTTGAAGTCTGGGCTTAATAAACATGTTCAGGGATGAAAAGGGGAGGTAGGGATGTTCGTAGGAAACAGTCTTTAAAGAGAGAAGCCTCCGGTTTGTTGTTGGAACACATCAATCGTATCTTCATCCTCCATTTCTAGCTGTAAGAGATAGTCAGACCGAGTGTGCTTGTTAATAAAGTAAGACATAAGCATTACATTCCAGTGTGATGACATAACTTAATGTGGGTAGAAGTAGTTATATGAAAAAGCAGAATTAGGCATTTTCACTTCAATTTAAGTAGATCTATGACAGGGCAAACTGAAAGTGACTTAGTGTTTCAAATATGATGTGAGCAAAAAGATGAAAAATTAAATTCAAGTAATCAAGACAAGAGGCAGCACAGCTGTCTCTTTGTACAGTATCAGTAACACATCAGTGAAAACACTGGAATGTGCACCTTGTCACTATTTAAAGTGAAAGATGAGCTTGAGAGTGGGTGTTTAAAGGCTTGTTCACATCCTGGAACTCTTTCTACACTTAGAATTGATTGTTAGTTTGACTTGTTTTTTAGTTAATTTAGTTTATTTGTCAGACAGATTATGCCAAAAACGTCTGAACCGTTTTCCACAAAACTTGTAAGGATGGAGCATGACCCTGGTAAGAACTCACAACATTTAGTGGATGCAGATCAGGAGTTGTTCCATTAGTTGTTTCACATGTTCTTTAACTATATCTATGACGATTATTAATTTTGGCTTTTCTTGTAGTTGTTGTTTTATATTTCCACTACATTAATGTAAAGGATTATTTAGCCTTGGAGGCGATATGTGCTCCACTGACTGCCACTGTAGTTATAAAACTAAGTATGTTAATGCTAATACTTACATTTTTGTACAGTTATTTTGTAATTTAAGCTACATGCAGTTTGTTAAATGATTGAAAGTACATTTATTTAACCCGTCAACGCTGTCAACCACTGAATTGTGGTAACATTTTTAGTTTCAAATGTATTTTGCAAATAGAAGTAACACTGCTAAGGTTTTCACTTTTGGTAATCCAGCTGTCTCACCATGTTTTGTTTTTTTTAAATAACACAATATATGTTCCACCCTTACAACTTACAAAGAATAAAATCTACATCATACACAGTGTCTAAAGTAGCAAAACTGTGAGGTGAATATATATCCTCTTATTCATCAAAAGCTCATGATAACAAAAATTGATTCGGGAGGTGATTGTTTGTAGGTTGAACAAGTGGGTGTATCTTACCTGTGAGGGCGTGTCTGTTTCATTGATAGGCTGACCATCAAATCGAAATCGTATTTGCCTCATTGCCAGCCCCTGTAGACAGAGAGACAAACCTTGTTTACTATATTGAAAATTATCCATGTTACACCCAGAGGTTAAAAGTGCCCAAACATTTTCATCCCTGAATCCAGCATACATGTTTGTGTGATATAGTGAGCGATTCATAAAGGGATAGTTCACCAATTTTTTTAAAATTAACTCATTATCTACTCACCACTATGCCTATTGGAGGGGAGTGTGAAGTGTTTGAGTCCACAAAACACTTTTGGAGTTTTTGGAAGGTGACTGATTCTTCAAACATAAAATACGACAGAAAAATAAACAAACGTAAAATGCCTTCATACTGCTACTGTGGTGTCATTAAAGTGTCTCTAAACCCTGACATTCAGATTAAACATGTTTTATTTTCCCCTTTTCTTTAGCCTAAAAGACTGCTGTTATCCACGCACAATCAAATGCTCCAGAGGAGGATATTAGAGGACATTTAGGCTAAAAACATGGTGTAAATGACACAGTTTCACACTTGGAAGACACCACAGGAGCAGTATGGAGGTGTTTTCCTTTTGTGTTTTTCTGTTGTTTTTATACGTTTAAAGAAGCACTCACCAACATGTTTTGTGGACTTAAACACTTCACCAACTGTCCCTTTGAGGCTCACAAAGTTTTCCTCCACCCAATGACTTATCAGGAGTGGCATCACACTGGTGTAGTGGTCTCACCTGTCGTTCACAGTAAGCTTTCATCAGTTTGCTGAGAGGAGTGTGCCTTTTGATCTTGAACTGCACCACTGAGCCATCCTGGCCTGCCACCTTCAGATTGATGTGCTCATTGTTCTCCGTCTTCACTCCCTCCTGAAACACAGTGTGCAGAAAGTCAAGGAAATGCGATGCAGGGATGAACACGACGCCTTTTAAAATATGACCTCAAACATTTTTTAAAGTGCGTGCACCCCCCCCCAACCCAACCACAAAACCCCATCAGCCTTTGCAGACCACTGAGGATTCATGCACAGTGTGTACCTCATTGATTTAAAACTTCAGTGTCAAAGAAGTCCAATACTAAAGTGAAGATATAAGTGAATCCAGTTCCTCTCTGTCTGACTGCACTAACCTCAGAATCTGCGTGATCGCTGGGCGCAGAGAGGACACATTACAACTTCAACATTAGCATTAGCATCTAGCGTTGAGCAATCGACAATGGCCTGCTAATTGTGCTCATTGCCCACGACCTCACCAAGGAGGAAAACGCATCCTGCACAGATCAACCCCTCCTTCTCCCGACACGGTTTAGGATTCACTTTGTGAACAGCGTAGTTTAACTATTTAATATTGAGTTAACTTGTTTTTTTTATCAGATCATTCATTTGGTCCCATGGCGGTGTCGTTGTGCTACTCTCTCTTGTTGACGTTGTCTATGTAGAAAACAGTCGCATCGCTTCGTGCTAAATGACCATCACTCATACTGATATCAGCTTTAGTGCAAGTGTGGAAACAGCGTATTCAAGATGACCACAAGTTGGTATTTATTTCTCAACGCCCGGGTCTCAAACACGCTAGCTTATTATGCTAACGTCGTTAGCTTGTTAGCTCGGCAGCGCTGTTGGGCGGTAAGCTCTCTGTAACTCCGCGGTCGTTGACGCATCGGTGACACACGCCGGTCGTTCCGTGGTGTAAACCGAACAACGATGGCGCAGGGATGAGCTGCACACAGCCACCAAGCCCCCAGAACAAAAGCCACTGCTCACCTTGGGTTTCTCGTCTGCCATGGCTGCCGCTATGTCTGCGCCTGTTCTGCTGCGACTGCGCTGTCCGGCGCGCCACTTTCCGTAAGGCTGCTGGGAGGCGCCCAGGAAATATACTGTGCCCACACAGTGTATATACCAGACCATGTCAGCCCAACCACATGGGTCTATATTATAATGCTAAATGCAAAACTAGGTTTTCAGCGAATATTTACTATTATTGTTGACACCATATGTTCTGTATACGTTCTGGGGAGGTTATTTTAAAATACTGGCAAAGCAAAATGATGGTCTACCTTCACAGGAGTATATGGAATAAAAACAGCTCCAATATTAATTCCATGCTTACATGCATACAATTATTTTACACTGTTAATTCTTATTTGAAATAATGATTATGATTGACAGCTGCATTAAAAATAGAAAACACTAATCAAAGTCATGTATCTTATATTTTAAAGTATGATTATGATATCATGATGTGTATTCATATTATTTCTTTTCATTTTCTTTCTGTTTTTTAATGTGTAAAGTGTCTTTGAGCATTGTTAAAAGTACTATACAAACACAATGTATTATTATTATCATGGTTAATAGTAAAAACACTTAGTAGATTTGCTACTACAGGATACTTGAAGACACTGAAAAAGTAAGAACAAAGTTTGTGCAAATTGTAATACAAACAGACTCATCTCATTCTTTACTTTTTCCATGCACAGAAATAGATTTTCAAAAAATATGTAATGACAAATTCATTTAACAATCTATGACAAATAAATACTTTTGTAAGAAATATGAAGAGAATCTCCTTTACAGCACTAACAGCTCCAGAAAGACAAAAAAATCATTGATTTTTTTGGGATGAATACATGGAACCACCACCAAATTCCTTATATATATTTATATATATATATATATATATATATATATATATGTATTTTCTCAAGGCTTACTCTAATAAAAATCTTCCTAGTTTGATATCAGAAACTCCCACACAAACCAAACAATTTACAAGTAATTCCTTCAGCTTTGTTTTCCATAACAAGGTGTAAGAGCAGGAATATGGGCAAAGCTATAGCATTGGATTAAGTTCAAACAATAAATCCAGGGGTTAATTATCAGCTGGTCTGCACTTCCTTAAGCACATCCACACCATGTATACAGAGCATCAATCTCCCTGATGGCTCATGTTGAACCGGCCAAGGAAAAGGGCCAAATATCTCTGGCACAAGGCTGCAGTCTCTTTCTAGTAGTAATTATCTTGTCATAATAAAACACTATCCAAAGCTGTCCCTACTGCTGCTACATGATGCATCATATTAGCAAATGTCTGTCTGAATATTTGGAAAAATAACCATCATTAATTTGTGCCTTTCGTCTGCAGAACAGAAAGCATCCAAGGAGATATTGGAATAAAGTTGACAACTGCAGTATCAAACAGTCAGAACTCATAACATCCTCCACAGAAGAAAATAACAATACATTCATAACAATAAATACTGAGACAAAAAGGAAACCAAAGTCCGAGCTATGAGTTAGCATAAAAGTCAGAAGACAAGTTAGAGTATTCAGTAGTAACTGTGAGCCATACTGGGAGCAGTGAGTTGAGAGCAACTGATTTCTAATGAGTCAATCTGTGCCTTTTATTTAGCAACAGAGGGGCTCTTGTCCGCTCGAGTCCAAGTTCTTCAGCGTAAAACACTGTTGTCCTACATTGTCAGCACACATACTGTACATGTGCACTCTCCTTCAACGTAAGTTTTCGCTCTATATTAAGACTGTCTGGCATCCAAAAGTGCAAGTGTTCTCCAATCAGTTCTGATATGGCCGAGGGGCAGGAGCAAAAGGATATTACAACAGTAACAACTTAATACTCACTTAGCAATATTTTCCCATGCATCACCCATGTAATGAGCCAGTTCACTCTGTCATTGCACCATGTTGACTACCGCTGGCACTAAAGCAAAGTTTACGTTGGATGTATTGCTACAGGACTTTGGCTACTTCAGTGAGAACATCCCAAGCAAACTCCTTCAAGTTCACTGAAAGTTTAGAATGTTTTTTTTTTTTTTTAAAAAGAAAAATTAGAATTTTACCCAAAAACTTCCAATACAACCCTTTCTTTTTACTTCTGAGCTGCACTAATAAAGTCATTTGTTAATTGAGTCTTGCAGTGTCCGCGTCTGGTCAGCCTACAGCAGAGGGCAGGGGGCTATAGAGCGCCCCATCTGTCAGCAGGAGGGAAATCATTAACCTCCCCCACCTCTGTGAGCAGTTGATCTCCCAATGTGACCGTCAGCTTATATCTCATCCGAACCTTCTCCTGCAAAACACAAACATGGAGTTAGGAATCTTGCTGGAATATACGAGATCTTGAGCACAGGCAGTCACTGACTACATTTACATAGATGTTAGACCTTATTCAGAATAAGACATTTCATTGTGTGCTAATAGAATATTTGATTCAAATCCCATGACTCACATGATTATGTCCAACACATCATGTTTAAATTTTTCTTACGATTTCAAATTCCCAACCTGAAATACTTTAATATGCCATGCAACCCTATAACATTTTGGGTGTTTTCTTTCTAATTTTGCAAAAGCTACAACGATTTTTCCATCTCGTTTCCAAGCAGGGCACGTGTTGACAAGCAGTTGGTTACTTTCATACATGTCGATGTCAAAACGAACACTCCAATAGGACGTTATAATGCAATTAAGATGTAAATGTATTTAGAGTGCAAAAGGTGTCGTATGCCACGTGTCTTAATTAGACTATTGCTTATTTTGAGTACAACCTTATTTAAGATAGTTTATTCAGAAATACTGTTTACATAGCAGTGTCTTATTCAGAGTATTTTCTGCTTCGGGTTAATATTGGAATATTGGTGTCTGTGTAAATGTAGACAACGATCAATACATGATCAAAACATGCTGCTTGTCATGTAAAACCAAAAAGTGGTAATACTGTGCTGAACTGTATGATCTCCACCACGGACATGGAGTACATGAATGTTCTGTCAATTAATACATGACTTTTAATGCAGAAAATAAATATTAAAAGCTCCTGAGCTTTACCTTGAGAGGATTGGCGAGCAACATGACCTGAGTAATGGCAGCAGGGGGAAAGATTGGATTAAAAGGAGCCAGCTCTGTCCCTGAAGGTGGCTGCAGTCTCACTTTCATCGTCTGGAAAAGTGGCAGAGCAGACATCCATGTGCATTTAACAGAAGCAGCAACCCACTGCAATTTCATGAGTCAAACATCTGCCTAAAAATAGCACACTGTGTGGCTCCCAATGCAGTCACAGAGCAGGTTTTACCTTGGGTACAGCCGCCTGCAGGGCAACATTCCTGATAGGTTGTGGTGCTGTGTTAAGCATGGATGCCACTATCACCAGTACGTCCGGCCTGCCTGGTGGACAATCACTAGCAAAGTGCAGCAGGACACGAACGCCGTTTTTGTCATACGCTGTCACAGGACACACTTTACCTAAGATTAAGGGCAAAAAGAGGAAGGTAAAGGTGATTATTAGATATTGATTAGGCACATGGGAACCTCACTGCGTTCAACTATATTAGTCAGCTAATGATGATTTTCAATAAAAACATTCATCCTTATTGGTGTGATGGGGAAAACATCTCCTACTATTCATCAAGTTTGCCACACAGTGGCAGTAAGGGCTACAGTTCAGTATCACAACCACAACCTTTCTTAAATAGAAGGTCTTCTATCAAGGTCTGGAGATCAGGCAAAATACAGCACTTTAAGTTAAATAGTTTTGAACTACTGAGCAGTCAAGCTGCAAAGATTTAGTCGATGAATCAAGCAAAAATAAAAAATAAAACATTAAGAAAATCTTAAAAACAGACACACTAGTTAAAAGCCCTTGTCCTGGAGCTCACTTGGTTTGATGGCATCCAAGGGGACAAAGACATTGGCCAGGGACACTTCCTCTCCCCTGCCGGGACTGGCCTGGCTCAGAGGGAGGATGGGGGACAGAGACCGTAACAAGGGGCTGTCATCAGCCTGACTCTTAGCAGGTGGGGGAGCGGAGCCTCCATGCACCTCTTCTACGAGGAGTAAGGCTGATGTTGTGGGACACCAACACTGTTGTGGGACACCAACACTGGAAGACAAAGGAGCAGGAGCGCACAGATCCTCACTCTTCACCAGCAAGCTGCTAAAGTCCATCACACCAGGTGTACTGTGTGGATAATTCAGAGAGAGAAAAACATTACAGTATATATTTGATTCAATGATGATAGAAATATATATCGATTACCTGTGTTGACAAAAAAATAACAGTATATAACAACAAATATTGTGGAGTCAGGTTAGATGTATCAAGGATATTTTGATGTTTTTCATAATATGATAATATGTGAGTTACTCAAGAAATAATGCAGAGATCTTGAGGGAAAATGTAGAGCAGCTGTCGTGCTGTCACTTAATGTTGCATCACATTTTGATAAAATGATGCGATGGAAAAGTAGGTTCTGGTTTAATGAAGAGACTTTTCTAAAAAAAGAACATTCACCACAGCCTTTTACCATCTGCTCTGAGTGATGCTGCTTAGTTTAAAGGCCTGGGACATTGCTTAATAAAACACTGAGGGGTCCCATATGGATCCCTTTGTATCAATGTGTAATGGAGTCCTGTGGATCGATCTGCATTTGCAAGATATTGGTTGAAGTTTCATGGAGCAGAACAGAGAAATCGCTGATGAAGCATTTAAGTCACTTTTAGTTTTTAGACAACTGCTCTGGTCAGTCAATGCAAAATTTAAAACACTGAAAAAAGTGTTTTTTTTAAATTAAGATCATCCAAGATAGTAAGAGTGACAGATGGACAGCTTGGTGTTTATCCATATTCGCTCCTCACTTTTACCTCATGGTTCAAATACTACTTACTTTTTTGGACTTCCCAGATCCAACAAGGCCAGGTCTTGCAGGTTGTTATTGACAAAGGTTGAAGGAGAGTGGGAAGCACTGAGTGAAGTGGAGACCTGTGGAAAGACGTGGGGGGCTGAGGCCGAGGGCAAGGCCATGCTGAATGATTGAGTCTGAGCCGAAGAGGTCAATACTGAACTAAGGGACTGTGGGAATAAGACCGTTGTCGTTGAGAGAGATTCTGTAAAAACCGGAGGTGGTGGCAAGACAGGGCCAGGGAAGCTTAAGGTGGAGGCAGTTGGAGAAGGCTTTGCAGGGTTGAATGGGGCTGCAGCTGCAGAGAGGGCATTTGGAAAAAGTGAATATGTAGAAAATGTAGGACCCGAAGATGAAGTTGTGTCAAAGAGATGCACATCCTGCCTGGGATCCTGGAAACATGGCAATGCAAAACATTGCTGGTTAAAATATTAGATCATAAATAATTTATTGAAATAGAAAAAAAGATGACAAATAATTGCTGTGGTTTGGATTGATTTACTTACAGGAGCAGGTTCATTGAGACCTGCAAATAAACAGAAATGTCTACATGAACATGTTGCATCTACGTTTTGAAAGATATGCCCAAAAATAATTAATGCTGTCATGAAAAACATCATAAAACGGCATCTTACCTAAGGATAGCAGCTCTTCATCCAGCAGAGAGAAAGCAGCAGAGGGTGAACTGGGGCTCGGGGACAGAGGCTCAGCAGCAGCAGACCCGCACAGCAGGTCAGCAGGAAAAGACAGAGAAGATGTCGGAGGTTGTTTCTCTGGCATAGAAGGGCTGTTGACATCCAGACCCACCAGGTCAATCAGAATCTCTGACTGGTTTGTGCTGCCTGACAGATTGAGGAAAACAATACAGCACAATGAAGATGCATTCATTTTAAACTCAGATACTATATCCCTAAATCTGTCAAGTAAAATTAAAGGGTCAGTTCACCCAAATACTTGAGCAATGGCTAACTACCCACATGAATAGATCCAGTTTTAACACACTTAGAGATATCTAATGCTCAGGAGATACACACTGAGAGAAATGCTTACTTCCAGAATAATCAGAGAACCATTGGCACAATTTCTTGCAAGAGACAATCCTCTCTCATCCACTCAGAAAGTGGTTAATGCAATGTGTTAAGTCTTTCATCCAATGTAACTTTGACTGTAACAGAATAATTTGTAAAAACATAATGGAATATAGATGGGGTGTCCAATAACTGAAAAAAATCTGGGAAAAGGTTATCTTGTTTGTTTAATTTTGCATCTTCACATATCTATGTTCCTTTTGAGATGTGACAACAGAAAGGAGATGTGATGACGTGTGATCTGTTACTATGGTCCGTGTGATATATTCTTTCCACATTGCTACCTATGTCAATACAGGATCTCTGTCTGTATATTCTTAATTTGGGACTGCACAAACTGGAACTTGTAAAAACAACACAATTACATTTAAGGGAATTGAAAATATGTCAGAACCTGTAATACCAAATGGCAAAATTATGACCATTTTCTACTGCGCTGTTCTATTACTTAAAATGTACCTCGTCTGACTGATGTTCGTGGTTGTTGTGCTTCTTCACTCTCTCCGTTGATAGTCTGTCCTTTCATAATCGTCTTGTAGGAATTAATCACATGGGACAGGTCATCACTGGCCTGCAGGATGTCTCCTGATAAATACAATTTTAATGGTTCAATCAAGATGAGGTTCATGACTTTCTGAAACAACAATAAACATGGTGACTAAATGTAAGAAGTCTTTGAGCAGAATATCTCTCAATCATGTGGGCACTCTGGTCTGACAGGCGGTCGGTCGTACATCAACACAAGGCCTGTGTGAATCATGACTCAACCTTTTTATTCTGTATAAAATGCAAGAGCTTTTTGAATTTCTCACCCAAGCTGCTGTCATTGTCCTCAGTCTCAGTAGCAAGTTGAGACACAGTTTGCCTGAGTTTGTCACAATCACCATACAACTCCTGAGAAGAAAGAAAAAAAAAAAAAGATCACTGAATTTCCATATCTTAAATATAATTTAGACAGAGGATATAAAAAGAAAAATATGTCACTTAAGACTTATGTGAAATGTGTTCACTTATGTGAATGACGGTGATGACCTCAATCCCGCGGTAGGCATCACATGACCGGGGTATTGCGGTAATGTGGTTACCGTCACAGCCCAACTGTTATCACTTGAGATCAGATCTCACTTCTCCACTGCAAATAAACACAGACCTAATTTCTGTTTGCAGAGATTTTTCCCCATTTGAAAAGAAAACTTAATAGAAGTCATTATGTGGCGGTCGATGTGGATATTGGGAGGGTGGCCACAAAGAAAATCAATGTATGGACACTGACAAGAGTAAAAATGCTTTTGATTCATTAAAATTGTAGGAGGTAAGAGGACGTCAGCTGGTTAGGCCCTTTATATGTGGTCCAGCAAAAAGAATGTGGCCGCATGTGTTCCAGACCACCTACGAATATCATTGTGCTTGGATCTCAGGCTTTATTGAGCATGGATTTGGATGAATCCGACCTTATCTCAGAATAAATCTTAATAACAGGTGGGAATGGGTTCATGGGTCTGTTTCAATTGCTTCATACAAGGTTAAATTGAGCAGGAGCAAGTTACTGTTAACCCATCTGAAGCTGTATGAGCAAGATCAGGACTTTGTAAGTGTTTCCAGAAGGGTAAATAGATAACAAAGAAATGACTGAATGAATGAATTTGTTTCAAAAGGTCATTTAAGCCTCATCTGCTGAAGAACCAACCCTGATGAGCTCCTTGTCTTCATCCGTGGACTCTTCTGGGCTGAAGTGTGTGAGCATCTCATTAAGGAGTTTGACACTGTTGTTGACAGCGTCCAGTGTGCTTTTTTGTTTTGTCACTCTCTGTGTTCTCACATCGTCCTATGACAAGAAAAAAAAAAAGAAGGTTGAGTTGCATTTCTAAATGGACCTCATTAAACTGGAGTGTCAGTATAAACCTGTGTGGTGGGGTTTGTAGATAAAAGCTGAGAAATGCTTCCAATTGGCTTCCAATTTCTCGTGAACAGAAGCCATCCCAACTTTGGCCAAATTAAAATAACACAAACAGCAAAATCGGAACATTTAATTTTGACACTGACACACCTCCTTCACCATGTTCTTGATGAGCCGATTGGCCTCTTGCAGATCTTCAGGCTTCTTGCTCTTTAGCAGATCTGATAATCTCTGCAGGGATGAGAGAACCGTCAGTGAGTAAACAATCGAGCTCGTCTCCCACAGATCACCCAGGCACAAGCAGCAAAGTCACATCAGCTCCCGAATTCAGAAAAAACAAACTCCATCCATATATCAACTGCCGTCAACACAAAGTAAGCATGCAGCAGTGACCTGTTATGGCGAGGTGAAACCAGGGGGGCAGTGGGAACAAGAAAAAAGCAACAAGACCAGTTTCAGTGATGTCAATGCAAATTAAATATGACCCATTTTGCTGTGGGATAGCATCAAATGAATGACAAGCAACAGAGGGGAAGACAGAAAGGACAGAGAATGATTTGATTTGAAACCCATGGAGGAATGAACACTTTGATTTATTTTGTTTTATTACTATTATTCAGTTTCTTCTAAGACTTTATTTCTAATAATAATGAGCTGCATTCATAAAAATGAATGCAGCAGTTAAATATGGAGACCATACACTCATTTTGACAAAAGAAACTTAGTTAAGTTTAGCATCAAACACTTTATAACCTGAGTTTTGATCTGTATGAACTTTTTAAGTGTAAGCTGAATTTTTAAAAACAGTTATGTGATGGACTATTTCTTCACTGGGGGCAGTGACTTGTAGGAGCCAAGCTAACAATGCATATTACATCACATTTTATGGACATATATGACTAAAGAATCAATTTACTCATCTAACCATCGCCACAAAAGCAAATAAAGCAACTTAAAAAATGTCAAACTACTTCTTTAATAGTCATGAGCAGTGGATGATCTGGATATGATGGCTAAATAGGCAGGCACTCGAATACTTTGACCCCACAGATACAAAACACTAAAAACTAGGGCTGAGTTTATCGATATCAGTACAGATATTTTTACAATTTGTGCGTGCAAGTGGCAGCGATTACAAGATCAGATCCCAAAATGATTCTTCTTACCTTGCTCTTCTTCTCGTCATCAAACACAGGATTCTTGGGTCGCGGAGAGGGTGATGGTATTAAAGTGGCATCGAGAGGTATTTCTGGATCAGCTAAAACAATACCTACAATAAAAATAACAACAGACAGCTAATGGAAACTGGAAATGACAATTTTTAGTAATTCATGCTAACAAATTATCTTACAAGGAACAAGACAGTCATAACAGACTGTTCATTAAGCATTCATATTGTTTTACCATGTTATTATATCTCATCTGCATTTTTCAACAGCTGTTTTAAGTGGCTGGTGTCTCACCCTGAGACTTGAGCATCTGATAAGCTTCACAGATCTTTGCTTCATCTGGCAGAGACACAGTCCAACTGTACAGCAGCTCGATCACTTTCGACTTCACCTTTTCTGACACTTTGTCTCCCAGGTACTGAAAAACAATTAATGCAAAACTTATTTGACACCAAACGTCAATTCAAGAAAACACACTCCCATCAGAAGCTGTTTGAACATTTATATTACTTACTTTGGGTGAAACCACCTTAATTAATTCATTTAAAAACCTAAATTTCCCGACTTCATTGTGGAACCTTTGCCCACAGTTCTTCATACAAGCCTCGAGGACCTACACATGAAAACAAGTGTAAATAAAATAATAATATCTGCGGACTGTGCAACAAAAGGCAGAATGACAATGGGGAAATGATTACGCTACAGACCGTTAACGCTTGTATCGCCTCCCACTCCTGAGGGGACTGAATCTTGTGAGCCAGCAGTCGAACGGATATTTGTGGGCTAGAAAAAAAAAAAACAGAGCGAAACATTTCCACGCAAACTCAATAACAAAAGGGAAAATTCAGAGCCTGGGTTATAAACAGCTTTACAATAAGCTCCATGTGTTCACCACAGCGAGGACACAGACACAGTAATAATAGATGAGAGGGACACAACGTTATGGGACAGATTGACTTAATTGAATGAATGTGACCATACCCTTCCAGCTCCTTATTGATTTGGTCACAGAATCCCATTATGTACTCCCAGTCTTCCTGTCGGTTGGAGGGGTTGGTGGCTCTGTCTGAAAAGAAAAGGGGAGAGTGTCACCTGACCTTGCTGCTGACAGCACATTTATCACTCACTGTCACACACTCTCAACTACATATTCTGTATGCGGTAAATAACACTGAAATATCCATTTCGCCAATAACTACTTATACTATTTCTTTGCACTACTTCTTTATTGCACTACTTGTACAGCTTAAACATACAGAGGATCTGATTTGATTTCCCATTCATCATTCTATGTTTATTTTTTGCACCATTCTTAGCTTAATGTGCAGAATAGTAATGAACAGTAATGTATGTTAGTTTACGTAACGCTACGCTAAACAATACTCCTTTGCCAAAGATATACATACTTATGGTAAACTGTGCAAGGGAAAGGTAATAAATCATGACATTTGATATTATTGGTTTCTTTCATATCATATTATTTAAATACCATGTGCATGTATTACTTACTCCTTATTCATCTCTACTTACTGCTACTTGTACTAAGTATTAGTTTCACTGTATCATGCAACTTATAATACACTTTATTCACTGTATTCTATTATTGGTACATGACCTTCCTTCGAGGTGTGTCTAGTCTTATCTTATCTTCTATGATTTCAACCTCTGTCCCTCCGTAGACCAGCTTATAAAACAACCCAGACAGACATTAGCCACCATTTTAAACGTATTTTCTCTCAATCCTCCCTCTCGCTCCCTGCAGACACCCTGCTCCTGTTTGTTATTGCTGCTTTACGTCCTGTTTATAATCTGGGTAAGTTAACGCTCCGGGCTGATAATGCAAATCCAGAGTGTGTTACCACGAGAACAGAGGAACGGAATCACCCTCAACATTTATAAATGTATGTTTTAGTTCGAGACACATGGAGACCAAGCGTCGAGGCTGATTAAGCTAGCGAACCGCCAGCAGCAGCCAGCAGCTGTCAGTGTTAGCCACTTTCTGACAGCAACACCCGAATTAACGCGATACTTGGCGTTTACACCGATGTCACGTGAGTTCAAATCGTGTGTTTGACAGCTACTGTTCCGCAGCACACAGCCGTGCACGTTAAATGTGAATAAAACCCGTGGGAATGGAGTTAGAGAGAGAACTTACTGAGCCAGGACTCCAGCGACTCTCCATCATCCGCCATGTTCTCTGTGCACAGTGATGCTGCGTTCAGGACAGCTCGGAAGTCCAGGTTCTCAAGCGCACACTCCTAATGTCCGCGATCAGAATAATGCAAAATAATTCAAAAAAAGTTTCAACGCATGAGAAATAAAGTTTTTGACTTCATGTCAAAGTATTGTTGAAGCGTTTATTTGTTACTATTTTCACACTTCAATAGAATAAATGGAAACAGCACCATGACACAGATGACTATCTGCTTTGTCTGAATCTATTTTTCCATTTCTCTCCAGTTTCTGTTTTTCCATCTTCGTGTTATGATCAGTTAATTCTGTTTCCACAAGTTTCAGCATCTTGTGATGAGACTCTACAAGTAATATTGTGTCTCCACTCACTGATATATAAAGGGCTAGTGTTGGTGAGGATAATTCCAATTAGAGACTGATACCTGTTGAGCTAAAGAAGTCAAAACCTCCAACCCCAAATCAAACTCAGTCTTTATTTTATTTATTTGAGCAGTTGAACTTTGAGTTATCAGTGCTGATGAATGAATAAAATCCAGTCCAACAATACTGGATGAATAAGGATTGCTGGTCCCTTGCTCTGTATGGTGGCGTTTCTGTCTGTTCTTGTTTTCTGGCACTGCAGCCCTTCATCATCCTCTTCTCCACTCATGCTGGTTGTGGTGGATTTAAGAAAAGATATTTGAAATACTTGTAAGAAGCCTTCAGGCAAAGCTGTCATGCTTCTGCTCCTCCTCTTTCTCCCACTGTTGTCTGCCAAACCTGCTCAACCAAGGGCCCAACCTCCACTTGATCACTGACTCATTTCTGCAGCTCATTTCACTGTGCAGCCACATGGTGGCACTAAGAACTCAGGCAGAGAGAGTATGTCTGTGCTGTCACCTTTAGCTGTGAAATAAATGAGTGTTCTCTTGTGTGGTGTGCTTCACAGCTTTCACAATGGTCCTAACAACCCTTCTCTTCTGAAGTGTTTGGTTTGTGCAACAAGGAGTGACACAGTAATGGGGTTTATTCAGTTTCAATCTATCAACTGAAAAAGAGTAATGAGGGGGGTCAGGCTGATGAAAAGGGTTTTCAAAGAAGCAACCAAAGACGCTTTCTTTTTACTCTTTACTCAACTCAGCTTGAGACCCAGTCATGGCAAATGGGGACTCACACTGTGTAACCACCTGCTGGTGCTCTAATTTTCTTTTTCAAGTAGAAATTATGAAGTGGGGAGTAATACAAGCATCTAGATCCAACACAGCAAAACACTGTGGCATGAGTTAAAATCAGAAACAGGAAAAATTGACAGCAGTTTGATTCAAGATTTACAGAAATAATTTTCTTCCTCAGCCTCTGCTTTTCTATCTGTAAAGCCCTGATGGTTTTTTTCAGTTGTCTGCCTGTCCCATTCTTGTGACAACAGTATCTCTGAGGGAATGTCTTCAAATTTGGCCCAAACAATAACTCTTCTGGCCAACATTCTTCACCATATCTCAGGAACAGAAAGGGAAACGTTGTGTCTATATTTGTTATGACTTCACAGGTTGGCAGAGGCATTAGAGCTTCTGGTGATATTTCTCATACTTTGTTGTTGTTGTGTCTTCACAGGGAACTCTGTAATTAGCTGCATGTCATACACGGTTTGCCGCCAGAGAATAAGCTGCACATCCACTTTTACAAACTGTAAAGGGTCATGTAGCTGGATGTGCAGTGTATTAGCTTTGAACCCTGACTCAAAACCAAAGCCACTCAATCTTATTGTTTTTGTAAATAAAGCAAAAGCAGAGGCTGTGAAACCACATCATGGTGAATGATAAAGCATCCACATTACTCTGCATCCAGCTCAGGCAATATATGTAAATGCATGACTCCATTATGCAATTAGATATAATGTGATGCATAGTTTTAAAATAATTAAAGATACTAGTGCAGAAGACTGACCGGAGAGAGTGTGTGAGGGACCATCTCTTTAATAAATTATTCATCAGGCAGTTGTGATTTCTATTCATCCCTCCATCCATCCATCATCTATTCCACTTATCCTTCAGTAATTTTTGCTTAAAATCTGGTTAATCTCTACATTTTTGGCACGAAAATGTATTTGAAATGAGTGACACACATTTATATCAGTGTTTTGAACTTATTCCTGGTTGGATTCGTTCAGTAATAAGTAATCCTGTGCTTGTTTGTCTTTTAACTGCTTGTCACTGACACCCTGCATGAATTTGTCATTTAAAAAACTGCTGTGACTGTGAAAAGGGATGACTTTTAATTGTGCAAGTCTGTCTCCAGATTCAACATGACTTCTTGAAACCACATCTCTGCATTCAGCTGTACATTTCCGAAAGACGTGACAACACCTTGCTTTGAAAGAAAATTGGAAAATGATACATGAAAGCTTATCTAAACTCATTCACTGGGTAAAAATAGGTATGTTTCTTTCTGACCATTCTCTAGAGTCTATACACACACAACAGAATCAAAACTTCTATGCATTGGTTTTCTACAGCAACACTACATTCAAATTAAATAAAAAGTAACTACAGAAAAGATTCATTTTTGATTTAAGAAATCCAGTCTATTTCTCCATGAAGGGAAAAATCATTCATAAACAAAGGATGCTCAAGGGAAGGGATTTGCCTTTTATGTGTTCCCTTGAGACTGTAATGAAACAACTATGAATGAATGCCACCAGAACAATTTTCATATCACCTGATTTTGACAGTTTTATTAAACTACACTGCTGTTTTACTGTTCACCCTTGTCAAAAAATGAGTTGAATGCAAGTAGATGGAGTCTAATGGCATGATAAAAAAGCAGCAAGAGCCCTATCATTAAAAATGCTGGAGCATAAACAGTGTTTTACATAATAATAATTAACAGTAAAACACTTATCCAGCCTCCTAATGCAGGGTTAATGTGCGCACATTCCTCTTTGGTCTCCTCCGCTTCCTCATTGATCAGGTTTATTTAAGTTGATTCAACAAATTAATAAACAAAATAATAGCACATTGGAAAAAAAGGTTGTCACAGCCACTAAACTGAATCAGCAGTGAGACAAATCAACACAAAGGGACCAAACATGAGCATCTTTTCTTCTTTGATCTCTTCAGAGAGGAGGAATAACAGCTCAGTGGTGCTGAGTCAAAATTCATTGAATCAATGGACACTTTTGATACGGTATCATATAATTGCTGGGGAACATGCCGTTCTGCGCACTGAATGTTCCTTTCTATCAGTGGACATTACAGTTATCCACGATCTCTCCATGCTTGAGGCCAAGATCTCCGTTATCCTTCTATTTGACTGTTAATTCAAGACAATACAATTTTATTAATCCAAAAAGCTATTTAGTTAAAGTCAATCAAAAGACAAAACATACATGTACTGACAAACATCCGCTTCACAACAACAAAATAAAACAACTTAAGACAAGAACGGCACTGTTGTGTTGAGCTAAAAGTGACACTTTTTCAAAAATTCTGTATTTTATAGAAATATCAAATCAAGAAATAAAATAAAACAGTTCACATTGCAGATAGGCTTCTAAGAGGAAGGGAAAGGTCACACGTATGTAAAGCAAAAATCGTGGGTCAAACTGTACCAAAGTTGAACTTAGCCCTGAATCTGCTGCTCATAAAATGAGCGCAGGCAATGAAGGGGGCACTAAAGAGATTTTTGTGCAGATGGTTACTATTGTTCGGAGACAAATTCTGTTTTTGCCATTGAGAGAAACCAGCAGATGAAGGAGAAATACATATTACTCTCGATGAAGCGGTAGTTTGAAAAGTGGGTTTTTGGACACTAAACAGTTCCGTTTCCTGAAGGAGGTTTGCGGCTGTTGAGCTTTCTTTCCTGTGGATTCTGTTTCGCTCGAACAGGGTTTCAAGGCTTATCAAAGAAAGCGCAGAGATATTTATAATCTGCATAGATAAGTAACAATATCCTAGCAGTGTTACCCACTTAAAACTTATAAAATAGTAAGCAGTTGCATTGAAGAAACAACTAAGAGCATGTTTGTTAAATCTCCAATCTTTGCAACTTTGAAGAGGCTGTAGCTCAGACATCTGCATAGCAAGCCTCTCTTTCTGTGCTTACCTCTGTCTTGCTGCGGTGGTGCATTTGTTTGATGACGTGAACTTTACTATCCACAGTATCCAGAGCAAATACTGTCCTTTGCCGACACAAATTACCTTTGAATGCAGGATGTCATTACCGTTCCCGAGGAGAATATAAATGTGAAAAATAATGACATTTTAAAAAGCTGAAAGAGCTAGTGTTTAGTAGAATTGATTAAGTATAAGCAGCAGAAGGATTAGAATTAAAGGAACAACTTGAGTAATTCAAGGAAAAAAATGATTCCTGAAAAAAAAACAGGATGTCACTAACTCAACTTTTAAATGAACCTTTCAGAAGGGTTTTTGTAATCATTCTATTCAAATTTTCCCTTTGACTAAATTACAATATCAATCATTTGAACATTATATTAATTAAATCAATTTGCACACCGACTAAAAAATATTGCAAGTCAATATAATAAACAACACATATTCTAAAATAGAATGACATGCATTACTCACTCGCGTAATGACCATTAAAATGCAAGAGTCAGCTCGTTATACCCAAGAAACAAGATAGATAGTCACCACATTTAAGAGTTTGCAGAGAAGACAGTGAAGAAAAAATAAGATAAAATAAAATGAAGAGATGATAGAGTTATCAGTCAGTCATGATAAAAGTCAGAAGAACCACAGACAGTAATTTCACTCCTGCTGGAGCTTGAAAATTTGTTTTGGTCTGGTTTCTGTATCTTCAAACCAACAAGGCAAAATGATGATCTCCAAATCTGATAACACGAATGACTTGATCTAACGCCTCTAAACACTGCATAAAGCCTTTTTACGTGAGCCTCATCACGCACAAAACAAGATGAGAAGTGTATTCTATCGCAATAAAAGATAGTTTTTACACTTTAATTGATTCAGAAATAAAAGCAGAGCTGCACCTCCTTTGGAAAGACCCTTGAGCACAAAGAGAACATAATATTGCTGAAAAAAAC